AGAGAGAGAGAGAGAGAGAGAGAGAGAGAGAGAGAGAGAGGCACAGAATCCGAAGCAGGCTCCAGGCTCCGAGCCGTCAGCACAGAGCCCGACGTGGGGCTCGAACTCACGGACCGTGAGATCATGACCTGAGCCCAAGTCAGACGCTTTACTGACTGAGCCACCCAGGCACCCCTCGTTCTATCTTGTTTAAACCAGTGGTATTTTAGGCCTTGGCTAAAACAACCGAGTCTGTTTTAATCTAAAAATAAATAAATAAATAAATAAAAGCCAACAAAAAGAAGGCAGAGCGGAGGAGGGATGGAGAAAGTGGAATTCAGTCCCATCACACTGTTTGTACCCCTGGATCCAGCCATGCCTGAAAGAGCTTTATTTCTGGAATTGTTTAGTTTTATGAAATCTTTTTTTTTTTTTTTTTTTTTAATAACAACTATTTTTCTTGATTAAGCTCGTCTGAGGGTGGTTTCTGTCATAGGACTAGCGAATCCTGGAGAGGGCACTCTCCCTCCCAACTCAGACGACTCACCTTTCACAGTGACCTTGTGCTCCCCGGTTCCCGGATGAGTGAAGAGCTCCACGTGGACTGAAACTTCACCCACAGGGTCTTCCACACCCGAGCCTGGGCGGGGTAGGGGAGGATGCTTGGCGTGAGCTCCATTCCTCCCACCCGCTTAAGGGACCTGGACCACCTCCCACCCACCATGTGCTGGCGGCACTGGGCCATCAGCCCTGACAGGGTTGGCACTGAGGGTGGGGCTGGGATGGCACGCGGTCTTAGGAGGCCAAGAACGCTGGGTTCTGCCCCTTCACTGCCTTGCTGTAGGGTCTCAGGCGGATCTCTTAACTTCTCTGAGTTTAACGCACCTGCCCCCCATTTTTCTCAGGCCAGTGATTGCCGCCTGGTCAAAACTCATCCTGGCAACACCTGACCCCCTAGCTGCCTGGGTTTCATTTTCTCCTTTGGGTTGTCACAGTGCCAGACTCTTCGGGTTCCCATCCTATACACTAGCTGAATACACCAGAGAATCTGTCCCACCTCCTTAGCCTCCATCCTGTCCCATCCCCCACCCTCACATGCCTGGACTGTTGCAGTAGCCCCCTTCTGAATCCTCTTTTCTCAGTACACCGGCCAGAGAAATCCTATTAAGTTAGGTCACTTCCCTCCTCTGCTCAAAAGCTTTCCATGGCCTTCCATCTCGCTCTGAAATCATCAAAGTCCTTTTTGTGATCTGCAAGGTCGCTCCCAATGTGTCCTCGCTATTCCCTGGCCTGCCTCGTTTCTCTCCACTCTCACCCTCGCTAACTCTGCTCCAGCCACGTGGGCTTCCTCGCTGCTTCTCCAAAACACTGTGATAACCTGACCCGACCCAGAGTCCTCACTTCTTCTGAGGCGACAGCTTGCAGGATATCTTTTCTCTCCCTCCCTCAATGCCATTCCGCTTTCCAATAGAGAATCTCAAGTTTCCATTGAGAAATACCCCCACACCCACCTCAGATCTTGGTATGGCTAAATGAGCCATGGCTGCCCAGAGCATTCCCTGGCCACAGTTGCAGTGATTGGCTCAGGAATGGTCATGTGACCCACGCTGGGCCAATCAGAGTTAGCTCTGAGACTTTGGCTGCAACTCTGAGGAAAGACTCTTCGGTGCTAAGCTAGCAAGGCTGTCTCTGCCCAATGGGGGGAAAGCCTGCCTCACAGACGTCTCAACAGAGACCAGTGACCAAAGACATTGTTAGAGGCTCTGGATTCAGCTATTATTGGTGTCAGCGTAACCCTTAATCTTTCGGTTCCAGGCCCACAAATTCCCTAGTCTGACTCTATTTCTAGCTACCAGGAATGCCCTGACTGATTGGTTCCGATGGGGGTCATTGAAGGAGCAGCTTAACACTCTCTGTCCCGTCCCTCTCTCTGTGGCTCTGGAAAGGGCATCCTGTGGGGCCTGAAACCTGTGACCGCCAGCACCCCCACCAGGCCCCTCCCCTGCCCCTCAGGAAGCTCCCCACACCTTGAGCGCCCCATGCATGGGGGAGGAAAGGGAGAGTCAGGGGTGGGTGCCCAAGGTTAATCCGGGTTACCTGGCATTGGGTAGGAAGTGACTGAGGCTCAGGGGGCAGAGAGGCCTGGAGACCCCCATCACCCCACTGCTGGGGCGTGCACCCCCCCCCATCTTT